GACTCTCAGGGGCTAAGTCCCCGTGGTACGCGGCACCCGCGCAACCATCACGAAGACTTAGTTCTTCGCCAGTACCGCGCCCCGCCCCTACTGGTTCCCTGCGTTCCCCTGTCCCCGGGATCCTGGCTTCTGCCAGCGACCCTTGAGGACGGGCTTGGGGAAGGACCGTCTGCGGAGTCTTTCCGCGGGACAGTCGCGCTTGAAGTGGCCCATCTTCCCACAGCCGAAGCAGCGGATGTCACGCTGTTCGGCGGACCCGAGTTCCATGGGAACTGGTCCGTTGGGGCTTGTTCGACCGGGAGCCGACAAGGAACTCCCAGGCCACGCTGAGGCCGGCGTACGCGCCTGGCGATGGCTGTATTCTTCTTGAAGAGCCACTTGAATCGCCTCTTCAAGGGTGCTTGCCTGCACCCGGAACAGCTGAGTGCGTGCGGGGCCCACTCGAAGGCCGTTCATGAACACAGTCATCTTGATGTGTTCATTGAGTGGGTTTCCCACTAGGGACGCCGTGAGCTCCCGTATCTCTTGCACATACTCGTGCAGTTTCGCGTCTTCCTTGTTTACACGCGAGGAAGCGCGAACGCTGGGCGGTACTCGTAGTTCGCCGGGAGGAACGCGGCTCGGAGCTGTTCGCACAGCTGAGCCCAGGATGTGAAACATCCAGGGGATGTCGCTTCCCGAGTGTACACCCAACTCTTAGCACGACCGCTAAGGTTGGAGAGTGCAAAAGCAACACGCAGTTGCTCGGTCGAGATCAGAGCCGCGTCCATCGCGAGCTCTACTTCTCGGACCCAGAAGTGAAGGTTCTCGCCTTCCTTCCCTTCATACGGCTTTACCTTCAGCCGTATTGGCTTCGGGTGAGGCGGGTTTGCTTCCGCCGCCGGAGCCTGCAGGTTCTCCCGCACATGCGCGATGAGGCCCTGCTCGTACGCGTCGAATGCATTGACGCGCTCGAGCTGCTCAGCCGGTGTTGATACCACCAGGCTCTGCAGGGCCTCCATCCCGAAGATGCCTGCCATCTTCCGAACCGACTCGAACTGAGAGTCGTTCATATGGGAGAAGTCGTTCCTATCCATGGCAACGAACTTCGGAGGTTCAGGTAGTCTACCCGCGATGGCGTGGATTGACTACAAGTGCTACCAAGTGTGACGGGGTCACACAGCACCTTGCGCTAGAGGAAGTTATCTTCCGAGAGTATACAAACTCTCAGTGAACGGCAGTTCACTGGTCCCCTCTTTAATTAAAGAGAGCGAAGTGACCTAAATAAGGTAGATTGTAAACTGAGTATATTTATAGGTAGGTTAAGTTTGTGGTTAATACAAACTATCAGTTACCTATAGAAATGCAATGTCATTTAACCAATGGTTGGTTTTGAATGACCTTGGTACCTTGTACCAAATATCCCGGAGTATGACATGTCATACTCCTGAAGTGTGAAGTGTCACACTTCATGTAACCAGGGTACACTTAGTGCTACGTACCCCGTTACAGAAAATTTTAATTTTAAGGATCAGAACCTGTTCGCTGAATTGTTGCTGCTATCGTTTTAGTTATACGAATTTGTAGAAGCTACCTCAGGAAAACCTTTAATTTTAAGGATCAAAACCTGTTCGCTCTGTTGTTGGCTACTCAGGAAACCTTTGAGGATACACCTGATCACCGTATTTATCTTTATATATTTTGTGTAAGCGTTTTAGCTTTGTTCATTTCTTAAACTGCCATTGTTTTGCTCTTTCATATGTGGATATTTCTTCACAATGTGTGGTTTGTTTTTTGTTTTTCCGCTGCTGAGGTCTTATAGAATTGCCTCTTAATTTCATGAAATGGTTGATATAGGTGCTGCAGTCATTTTCAATTTGTTCTGACTATTGTTATTGAGAGCTTATAGTTTTCAAATATTTTTGAAGAAAGGCTACAGCTTTTAAAAGCATAAATAACATCAAACAGTGTCATCGGTAGCGTACGCATCATATTTGCAGTAAGTGTGCAGGCTCTCGTCGTTGGGGTTATTTTTCTCCCTAGAGGCTCATCGAGTTGTTTCTCGTTTGGAAGTTTATAATTTTATTTTTACTTCGCAAGCGCTAGCGATAGATTTTGCTAACTATCGAATTCATTGTAGATGGAATTGATGCAGTAAAACTATAGTTTGCTTTCTGTAGACAGAGGCTTCTGTAGGCTTGTCTTGTAGTCATAAAGTGTTGAATTTTTTTTCTCATTCTTTTGGTACTGTTATGCTGGAAATGTTTGAAACTTTTGCCAGCGACAATAAATGTTAAAGTTTGGCGAATGCATGAATAGTTTTTGCCGTTGATGCCTCCCAGTTTCATACATTTCATTAAGTATTTCTCTCTCAACGTTTGGGGTATATATATTTTTTTTTTCTCGTACAAACAAGGCAGCCTTTGTATAATTTGCAATTTTGTTTTTGCATCTTGCAAATTGCATGTATGATTTTATTCATAAATTTCTTTTGTGAATGTGGCATAAATATGTTTTGAGCAGCTAGGTAGCAACGCTTGCACCAAAGCAATATTAGGAGCACACTTCACTCACATTTTATCTAGCTCACAGCTTTGGGGTAATTTTCTCCCTGGTGGCTCTTCGGATTGTATTCCGGATTCTATTATACTTCGAAGTAGTGAGAAGCATGCACAATGGTTAGTCAATTGACAGAGACATTGCTCATGCAAAAAAGTGTTATTGCTTCGTAAGGCTCAATACGCAGTGCGTATGGTACGGAGTCCAGGGAGATTCTCCTCTGGCTCAATACGCAGTGCGTATGGTACGGAGTCCAGGGAGATTCTCCTCTGGCTCAATACGCAGTGCGTATGGTACGGAGTCCAGGGAGATTTTCCTCTGGCTCGATACCGCGTGGCAGACGTGCTGCTCACCGCGTGCAGCTCGTTTGCTGGCGTAGAGGGCAACATGGCCTCCCAGCATGGCGATCTATTGCACATGCAGCGCTACAGCTCAGTGGCTGGCGCAAAGTTGGCAACGTGGCCTAACGCAGGCAAGTGTCCGTCCAGCGATTTCTCTCTCAGGTCTCCTTCACCTCATTGTGCCCCTGGTCATTCATGCGGCTTGGAGGTGTGTGGTCTTGCCGCGTCCAGCTCGCCCCTGGCGAAACGTTGGGCTTATAACCTGTTGGAGGGATGATTTGCGCAGAGTTGTTAGGGCAGTACAGTACGGAGTGAGGACAAAAGTAGAGTGGTCTAGGCGGCCATAGTGGAGAGGAAGTCTTGAGTGTAGAAGGAGAAGACGCTTGTGGTGGACTTGGTAAAAGAAGAAGTGATGAATTATAGAGTCTGGTGTTCTGGAGGGGAGTTACTCTTCCACCAACCAGTCCAGTTATATACGATTTCTCTATATGAAATAGTACAGTTATATTCCACTAGATAGTCATCATCACTGCTTACTTCGACAGCAGTTCATGTGTGCACTACTACAGTATTTGTGGAAGTCTTCTCCTTGGCCCTTTACGAAAGAGTCTTCATAGTATCGGTACACTCACAGCACTGTGCAATATTTCTCGCCTCGTCGATACAGTAGTATGCAACACCTCAAGAAGCTATCATAGGAAGTTCTGTATTTTTCTTCTCTCACTAAGCATATATAGGAAACACCGCTACTCACTCCTCCACGACAAAACAAAGAGAAGCGATCGCGGTGACAATAGCTACGGGCAGCTCTGCTCTGGAACCAGCAGCTGCAACCCGCTACCAGTCGAAATCTACCACTTTAACCTTGAGACTTATGCCTCGTTCAAGATCGTCGTCTTGATGATGCGGCCAGTCACCACGTACGGGTCCATGTTGGACGCTGGGCGACGGTCCTCGAAGTAGCCCTTGCCCTCGGCCTCCGCCACACGCGGAATGCGGATCGACGCGCCACGGTTGGCCACGCCGTACGAGAACGTGTCCATGCTGGCCGTCTCGTGGCGGCCCGTCAGACGACGCTCGTTGCCCGTGCCGTACGCCGCAATGTGCTCCTTGTGCTTCAGCTTCATCTTCTCGATGGCCTCGATGATCTTGGCCATGCCGCCCTCCTCACGCATCGCCTTGGTCGAGTAGTTGGTGTGGCAGCCAGCGCCGTTCCAGTCGCCAGGGATCGGCTTCGGGTCCCACGACACGTTCACGCCAAAGTCCTCGCACACACGCAGCAGAATGTAGCGAGACATCCACAGGTGGTCGCCAGACTCAATGCCCGTGCACGGACCCACCTGGTACTCCCACTGGCCAGGCATCACCTCGGCGTTGATGCCAGAGATGTTGATGCCAGCGTACAGCGATGCGCGGTAGTGAGCGTCCACAATGATACGGCCGAACACCGAGTGCGCACCGGCACCGCAGTAGTACGGACCCTGCGGACCAGGGAAACCTCCCTTCGGCCAGCCGTACGGGGTCACGCCGTCCTTCTCGAACAGAGTGTACTCCTGCTCAATACCGAACCACGGCTCCTCGCCCTCAGCAGCCTTCATGACACGAGCAGCGTCAGCACGCGTGTTGTTGGCGATGGGCGTCATGTCGGGCTTCAGGCAGTCGCACAGCACCAAGATGTGCTGGCCGCGACGGAACGGATCCTTGAAGATGGCGAGGAAGAACCATCTCCTGCGTAAGACGATAGAGAAAATCTGGTTAGACGCCATACACGCCAAGATGCAGCAGCATTTCCGACAGTGGGTGGACTTGACGAAGGCTGAGGCAGCGAAAGAGAATATTGAAAAGCCAAATGCTGCGCTGGCGGCCATCCCAGCCAAAGTTTGGTGGAAACGGTCGGTGTCCACGATGCGTTTTTGCTTTTTAGAGTGGAAAACGACTGTCGAATCGAGCAAGAAACAGCGTCAAGCTGAGCAGAAACTCCTTTTTTTCCAGCAAGCACGTCTCGTTGCAATGTGCTTCAACGCTTGGTCGAAATTTGTGGTGATGGAGAGGGAAGAAGAAGACCGAAAACAACAATTTGCTCGATGGTTGATCAGATTTCAACGTCGAAAACAACAACGTGCCATGACATTTTGGAAGAATCTGGTGATCCGCAACCAACTGCAGGACCTGGAAGAGCTGAGGAGAGCGAGAAACACTCAGCAAGAGGAACTGCAACTCCAAAGGGAAGAAATCGACCTGCTGATGCAACAGGCCGCAGACACGAAGCGCCAATTGGCTGCTGCCACCGACGTCCACGACGAATCTACAACGAAGTTGCAGTACTTGACGGAGTATGGATTACTATCGAAATATTTCAACGCGCTTAAATTTCAGGTCTCGATGAGAAGATATCGACATCAAGCCGCTCACTTTTCCCAAAAGAATGCTCGTCGACAGCATCTCGCAGAACTGTTCTCCACTTGGTTTAATTTTACGCAAAAGAGTCGTGTATTAAAGCTACGTGTTGCTGAAAGTATCGGACGAAGTACTACTTTTCTCTCTCGTAGTATACTACGACAATGGCGCTCTATTGCGCATCAACGACGCGTAATCAAACAAAAGCAGCGTAAACTACAGCGACGAGTCGGTAGACGAATTCTAACGAGCTTGTTCATAGCCTGGCGCCTAATGTCAGATCTCGAACTCCTGGCTTCTCTCTTAACTTCACATAGTTGTTTTGCTGGAAGAGATTTCGTCAGAATGCCTGCTGTCATCTCTGTAGTTGCGCAATATGCTAAGACGACCCATTCAGCAAGACCCCT